TAAAATATATAGGCCAAATGAGATACAGTTAGGTATAGAATAACCCTTAAAATATCATGCACTATTTTTTTTGACACTATTGTCAGCAACATACTTGGAGAGACATTCACAAACTAATATTCAAGCAAGTGTTCACGTAAACCATGTAAAATCATCAAAATTGCATTAAGTACACTCACCTTCAAATACCTTTTTACTCCTAAGGTTTTCATCTGTTCTATGAAAGAGCTGAACTCTTTCATGTTGTTATGGGAATGGTGGCACAGAATTTCAGTTCCTATTCTCCAAATCATCTATTAATGTGGAGAAAGAGATTAAAAAAATAACCTTAGTACATAAAAGACAACAGTCACCACATATACAATCTTATCAAACTCGTAGTTATTGTAACATATAAAATAAGTCATACATTTGAAATGTAAATAATAGCAAATACTAAGTGTTGTCTGCTGCTGTAGTAACCTACATGCTCATCCAGTCGTATTTTTACAGTCATTCAGTGGGTGCCTCATAATGGTTCATTACAAACGCAACACTCCATCAAAGCATAAGTCATACATTTGAAATGTAAATAATAGTGAATACTAAGTGTTGTCTGCTGCTGTAGTTACCTACATGCTCATCCAGTTGTATTTTTACAGTCATTCAGTGGGTGCTTCATAATGGTTCATTACAAATGCATCAAAGTTTACGAAAACTGCATTTGTCAGAAGGTTCCCCCTCGTTACTGAAAACAAATATTTCGTGGTTGCTGAAAACCTGTTTTCCCTTGATAATGTTTCCACTGAGACACAAGATGCGTATGACTCTTTGAACTAGCAGTGAAGTTCATTTCTAATTAGATGTAGCTTCCCCCCTACATGCACTTTTTTCCAGGTCTACCTAAGCAATGTCACCAAATATTCAACTCTTTGAACTAGCAGTGAAGTTCATTTCCAATAAGATGTAGCTTCCCACTTACATCCACTTGTTTTCCAGGTCTACCTAAGCAATGTAACCAAATATTACAGTAGACTAGCCATGTTCAAGTACTCCACTTACTTAACTTGTCCTGGGTTGAGAGACACAGGAGTAACTTCTCTTCTAACACTGGGGAAAACTGCACTTTTACTAAGACTCCAGTGTCTGAATTCATGAAAATATTTACTTTACAGCCAGCCAGGCCACATGGGATTCAAGGTCTCAGTGTTTTCGAGCCTTGCCAGGTGCAGGGACAAGGAGGAGCAAGACCTGGGCACTTGACCCAGGCTGGCAAATGGGATTATTTCATACCATGAACATCACATTCAATATAAATTAGAAAAGTTTGCTGTGTAGCTCACTCTCTCTGGATGGTGGCAGGTCCAGACAACTCCCTGCCCTGGTGCCAGACCCCTGAGGCCTTCCCTTCATCCCGAAGCTGTTGGGCTCACAGTGTCCAACATTTGCTGTCCACTGCTGACAGCTTCCTACTGATAGAATTGGCCAAGTATAATTCTTGTATATGTTATATCAGTACGGGAATTAATACTGGTTCTTTAGTATTATTGTTAATTATTTAGCCTATTAAATCTATTTCTATGTCAACCCTCGTGGTTCCTCGTGTTCCCCAATTCTCCTTTCCAGGTGGGGAGGGGTCATCAGGTCATAGAATAATTGTCTAAACGACAATAAATTGATAGAATAATTGTCTAAATGACAATAAATTGTTATGGGTTTTCTCAAACCATAACACAACTCTAATCCCTTTCCTCCTACTTCTGTCTCAGAACCTGCTAGGAGTTTTTTAAGTACTACAGGAACTAGAAAAGACATAAACTAACTTCCAAACAGATTCTGACTGATGGCATGCCAACGGCAAACACATTTACTGCTTTTCCATTTTAGAAGACTATATTAAACCAATTTTTCATAGATATGCTCCTAATGGAATTAAATTATACCAAGCCAAGTCTTCATCTGCTGAGTCCAGGTCCTACGTAAAAAAAAAAAACAAAACAATACAAAACAAAAAAACCCATCAAAACCATCCTGCAAGCCCAGAGAACTCTTCAGGAGTATTGAGCACTCCGTCAGGAAAAATATCAGACAACACCGTGGATTCTCAGCACCCATGAAAACGAGATCTCAGCAGAATTCAAGCTCTAGCAAGACTAGTTAAACTCAGAGCAGAGGCATGCCTGTGCAGCACACGTTTTTAGTGAGGAACTGGACAGCATGCTGCCTGGGACACTACCAATTATGAGATCTGGTGCTCCTTCTGCAGCCTGCCATCTAAGAGCTTCTACATCAGCTCCTGAATAGTTGTTTATTTGTTTCTGGAAACTTCAATGTCTTTTTTTTTTTTTTAAAAGAAACTAGTTTAGTTTATGAAAGTTGCCTAACTTTTCAGGTCTTACCTCTGACACTTTTTTTTAACTAAAAAAAACAAACAAGCTTTTGATTAGTTAAGACAAATTTTAGTTCTGAAGTATTAGAGATACTTCTTGCAAGTATTTTTTCAATTGCAAAAGAACTCTGATAATGAACACTAGCTTACCTCTGATGGACCCATGTATTCCGTAGAATAATCTTTCTCTAGTGACTCAATATAGAAAGTTAGAAATTCTGCAGCCCTTTTCCACTGCTTTCGTAGCATGGCATCCTGAATGTAACTTAAACACACTTCCTTGCTCTTCTTGAAGTTTAACTTATATTCATGGGAAGACACTAAAAAAAACAAACAAACAAATCAACCAAGCCCACAACTGTCACAGTCCTAACTCAGATAACGTGTCTACCGTTTCAGTCAAATACTACAGAAAAAGATCTTAAGCTATGTGATGTTGAAGTTAAACACACTTACTACTCTGCAGGGAAGCAAGACTATGGCAAAAGCTGGAAATACAATGTGAAGTGGCATTTTCCACAAGCAGCACACAGCTGATGCTTGAAACACTGATGAAGCAATTATTACACATTACTGTCCTTCCAGAATTAGAAAGCCACGGTGCTTTGGTAACTCCACTGTCCATTTTGTTGTATTTTGGGGACTACTCTCTTCCCTTACTAACCATCATCTAAGCTTGTGACCCCACCGTGCAAAAGAAACTAGTTTAGTTTATGAAAGTTGCCTAACTTTTCAGGTCTTACCTCTGACACTTTTTTTTAACTAAAAAAAACAAACAAGCTTTTGATTAGTTAAGACAAATTTTAGTTCTGAAGTATTAGAGATACTTCTTGCAAGTATTTTTTCAATTGCAAAAGAACTCTGATAATGAACACTAGCTTACCTCTGATGGACCCATGTATTCCGTAGAATAATCTTTCTCTAGTGACTCAATATAGAAAGTTAGAAATTCTGCAGCCCTTTTCCACTGCTTTCGTAGCATGGCATCCTGAATGTAACTTAAACACACTTCCTTGCTCTTCTTGAAGTTTAACTTATATTCATGGGAAGACACTAAAAAAAACAAACAAACAAATCAACCAAGCCCACAACTGTCACAGTCCTAACTCAGATAACGTGTCTACCGTTTCAGTCAAATACTACAGAAAAAGATCTTAAGCTATGTGATGTTGAAGTTAAACACACTTACTACTCTGCAGGGAAGCAAGACTATGGCAAAAGCTGGAAATACAATGTGAAGTGGCATTTTCCACAAGCAGCACACAGCTGATGCTTGAAACACTGATGAAGCAATTATTACACATTACTGTCCTTCCAGAATTAGAAAGCCACGGTGCTTTGGTAACTCCACTGTCCATTTTGTTGTATTTTGGGGACTACTCTCTTCTAAATTTAACCATCATCTAAGCTTGTGACCCCACCGTGCTGAAGATCTGCCCGAAGGCTAAGCAACTCCCACTAAAAACAAAGATAGAGAATTTTTCTTTTCTGAGTACAGGACTAGAAAGAGGCCACTTACCCTTTTTACATCGATACTGGTTCAAATCCTGCTACAGCAGAAAACCAAAACCTCATTTCCACATCTTTTTAAAGCTCATGGCTGCGTGCCACGGTCTAGCATGCCCCTATGGCAATGCTCAAGCCATAAGAGCCTTCTGCAACGGAGACGCAGAGCTCACCAAATTACCTCCTACCTAGATGCTGTAGGCAAAGGAGCAACTCAAACACTGGCTTCAAGTGGTTTTATTAAAGGGCATTCTACAAAATTACCGTTATCCAACCTACCTATAGGTCCCGTCTTCACACCTATTTCTAATCACTAAAGTTCCAAGTATGAAGCAACTAAAACCCACAGCGAACACCACAAGATACACTGAGGACCACGGCTACTGGAGGTTAAATCCTGCTGTGTAAGTGGCTGAGAAGTCACCCGATATTGACCGAGCTGATGTGAAGTGCTGCACCACGCAAAACTATTTAGAAACAACCACTTCTCCGCAGGTTTTGGTGCTCACCTCACCCCGCATAGCTTTGTCATCAGCCGCCTCAGCACCCCATGCTTTACCTGTAGCGCACACACCGCCTCCCAGCCCCTCGCAGGCCGCCGGGCAGACCGACCAAGGGGGGCCGAGACACCGGAGACCCCAACCGGCCCCCTCGGAGCGGGGGGAACCGACAGGGAACGGCCGAGGAAGAGAAGGAGGGGGCGGGCCGGCCTCACCGGCGGCGGGCACAGCGAGCACGGAGGGCGGCCTTCCTCCCTCAGGGCCGGAGCCGGGGGGACGGGGAACTGCGGGGAGCCCCCGCCGGGCAGCTCTGCCCTTACCCGGCTGGTAGAGGTGCGGCGGCAGGGAGGGCAGGTGTAGGGCCGGCAGCAGGGCGCTCCCCACCGCCGCATTCTTCGCCGCTGCTGCCGCCTCCTCCTCCTCATCCTCTTCCTCCAGGAAGCTGTCCATGGCGGCCTTCACGCCCGCACTCACCGCCCGGCCGCAGCAACCATCTTTAACCCTGAGGGGCGACCTCACGAACTCCCAGCCGCTCCGAATTAAACCGGTCCTTAGGCGAAAGAGGCGGCCCGGGGCCGGAGCCGGGTTCCAGGGCGGCCGCCCCCCCTCAGGCCGGCGAACGGCGCATGCGCGGCGGGAGGCGCCTGCGCCCTGGGGAAGATGGCGGGGGCCCGGCCATGAGGGAAGCGGGGCTTGAGGGCGGTGTAAGGCCCGTGTGGTGGGTACAAAGCGATGCAAGCTCTGGGGGCTGAACTGTCACAGCGTGAGGGGTAGCAGAGGGGCTGGAAGTCTGCTGAGCCCCTCTCAAGGCAGGCAGCCGGCTCCTAAGGCTGTGCGAGCGTGGTAGGCCAGGCGTGATGGATGCCTTCTGTGGGGAGTGAGGAAGGCTGGCTGAGGGTGATGCAGGAGGGATGCAGGAGCCTGGCTGGGTGTGCTGGGCTGTGTGGCAGAGAGCTGCTTAATTCCACCTGTCATCCAGTCAGAGTCTTCCTGTGACTGGTGCGATAAGTAAATGCTAAAAGCGACAGCCAGATCCTGGGGTCACTGGTTCCGTTAGCTGCCTTGGTTCTTCTCTGTTAGTTTGGCATCTGGAATGTCGTGTTGTACAGACATAGAGGATTCAGAATTAAAATGCTGTGTGTTACAGAGCAATAGAGTAGTGCCTGGATTCTAGAAGTCCGTCTGCCTCGACCACAGAACCTGGTCTGTACAAATTTTTGCTGGAACCTGTTCCTTTAAATCACTTCTGCCATGGAGTGTTTTGGTATGAGTAAAGTCCAGTTTTCCCAGTAAGAATTTACAGGTTTTTTTTCAGAATGGCTCTGCCATGCGAGGGTGAGTAAATAATAAACTGGCTCAGATGAAAGGTTCATGTAACCCAGTGCCCTGGTTCAATAACAAGCGTCAAGGGAACGGTACAAGGCAGAACAGTTGTTTGTAGTGTCTAAACATTTAACCTCAGTGTCATACCTTAATATGACATTGAATAAACCTATGTGGGGATAACAGAAGTATCCCTTTATTCTTTTACATTTAATCCTGTGTTCTTCCAATATATGACTGTGACCAGCATTTCAGTTCATAAGTGTGACACTTCTTTAACAGTGTCGTCTTTGTCTTTTGTATTGTACCTGGTATGAGTGTCTCATTGATCATTGGTGTTCCCCGAGCGTGGTGTCACTCCCTACATTTCTGAAATTTTGTTACAGCTGTATGCTCATTTCACTATCCAGTTTACCCCACTGTCTTTCTTAAAAGTTCTCACATAAGCGTAGAAGCACATTACATTTGGCTTGTTATTTTCATCTTTGCTGATTCTTATGTAAACTGATGTTGTTAATGGGCATTAGTTAGTTTAGTAGATACTTTGGTGCAGGAGAGATGGGAGGATTGCTTTGTAACTGGAGACACATAGAAAATGTTCAGTTCCTCACGGAAGGCAGCACTGTTCTCACAGCTGAATACATCTGCTCCCAAGACTGGGGTTGAAGACTGAAGGAAATTTTCTCTGTAATACCTAAATTGAACTAAGTGAAATATTTCTTTTTTATGTCACTCAGGGGGGAAAGCTGGGTATGTTGATAGATGGGTGCATTATTCCTATGAAATACTTGAAATTGTAGGAAATGCTGGACAGTTGCAGTGGTAAATTTGTGTATAATCAAGTATCCACTGTGAGCAATTCGTTATTGCACAATAAAGGCAATAACTTATGTAAGAAGTATATATGATCTTTCTCTTCACATCTCCTTTTCTTGTCCTTGACTTTATGACCACAGACACTGTTACCTTTTATCTTGGTCTTTTAAGTAAAGATAAGCTTGGTAACTGATGGGAAGTTACTAAACAGCTCTGTCTTCACAAGCAAGTGGACGTAAAGAACAGGCTGGGAATTATGCCACAGGCAATATTAATGTCAAGGGAAAAATTACTTGTCTTTCATTTGTACAGTCATCATAAAACGTGACTTGAATATATTTACTTCTGTATTGTAAGTTGTGATTAAATTCACCTGTAAAATATTGAACTGTTCTAGGTGGGGGCTGAAAATAAAACACGTATGTATTTTTCAGAGGTTACGTAGCAGTAACTAAGCTTAGATCTCGGGCCCTGTGTGATGAGGCTGTGGAAATGAGTGCCTGTAGAGTAAAATCAATAATAATGAGGATATGATAAGAACACGAGCAGTGCCTCTAACGCAATTAGCAGTGGTGATTGCTGACTCCTGTGATGGGAGCTGGCAATAAGTGGAGCAGTAGGATTAACTGCTTTTATCATTGTTGCAGAACAAACCTCACAGAGCCAAAGTTAAGAGTGCTTGCAAATACATAATTTAAAAGGGCTCTTAAAAGTGCCCTCAGCTCTCCAGAGTTGCCCTTTGACATGCACAAAAAAGCAGGATCCTTTACCTTGACCATCAGTTTTGCCAAGTGCTCATTCATTTTGGGAGCAGTTTCAGAATTTGAAAGTGAATTTTGAAAGTGCTTTTTTTTTTTTTTTTTGGCCATTTGATAAACCAGTAAGAAGACTCTTATTATATTACCTGTGCCTTCTTGGGTGCGTCTTTTATTCCCTTTGTCCCATCAGGGGCTGTGCAGAACAAATCACACGGGCCTGAAAAAGAGGACAGAGAACAAGTTTTGTTTATTTTTCTCCTGTTAATGACTATTGTGACTTCTGCTGTTATTCTACCACTTTAGATCTCTAAAGCAATATAAATGTAATGGATGTGAAGAAGAGCTAATAAAAAAAGTGAAGGCACGCATGTAAGTAGCTCATCTTTTGGTTTGCAAACATTCATAGTTAAAACATGGCAGCAAGTGGAAGCTGAAGCTACAGAAGAAGAAGAGGAGTTTTTCAGCAGGTTTGTTTTGGGGTTTTTTTCAGCAGTTGGGTGTGTAGCCCTTCATTTGCCTGCACTTTCCTGTGTGGGGCCACGGGTGAGTGAGCTCCTACACCCTTGTTACCACAGGTTTAACCTCAAACTCTCGGGAGGTCACCAGGGTGGATGCCACGCTTGCTTGGTGGTGACTGCTCCTCCAAAGTGGAGATATGAACTTCTTGGTGGGGTGGGAGGGAGGGAAGAGCAGTGAGGGGGATGTTTGGATGTGTGGCATCCTCACCCTTGTGTGGGGGGTGCATGGGGGCTATTACATCTCTTTCTGCACCGTGGCCAGACCCAATGGGCCACTGTTGTTCCTTCAGTGATCCTCTGCGTGAGAAAACCTCAACCTGCCCCCGCCGCCCTCCCTCCTCTGCGCCGCCGCTGGTACCGACCTGGGCCGCCGCTTCGCCGAGCGCAAGCGCTGCGCCGACCCCGAGTGCAGCAGTGAGGAGTGGGTCCAGAGGAGGCCACAGAGATGCTGTGAGGGCTGAAGCCCCTCTGCTGTGAGTTCAGTCTGAGTTGGGAGGGTTCAGCTGGAGAAGAGAAGGCTCTGGGGAGACCTTAGAGCCCTTTCCAGTCCCTAAAGGGGCTCCAGGAGAGGTGGGGAGGGACTCTTGATCAGGGAGGGGAGCCATAGGATGAGGGGTAATGGTTTTAAACTGAAAGAGGGGAGATTTAGATGAGATCTCAGGAAGAAATTCTTTCCTGTGAGGGTGGTGAGACACTGGAACAGGTTGCCCAGAGAAGCTGTGGCTGCCCCATCCCTGGAGGGGTTCAAGGCCAGGCTGGATGGGGCTTTGAGCAACCTGGTCTGGTGGGAGGTGTCCCTGCCCACGGCAGGATGGTGGAACTGGGTGATCTTTAAAGTCCCTTCCAACTCAAACCATCTGGTGATTCTAAAAGCCCCGTTAACAACGACGGAAAAGGAGCAGGAGCCCCTCTCTGCCGGGAGGGAGACCGAAAAAGAGCGGGACCCCCGCCCAGGGGTTCCATCTCGGCCGGATTGGGATGGGGATTAGGATTGGGATGGGGATTAGGATCGGGATCCGGATGCCGCCGGGAGGGAGGGAGGGTCCAGGCCCGGGGGGGGGACCGGAGAGGAACGGTCGGTCGGTCGGTCCTTGCCCCGGTCGGGCCGGGAGGCCGCCTCCCCCCGCGGCCCCGGGAAGTTGTTACCGGGAAATCGTTACCGGGAAATCGTTACCGGGGAAAAGACGGCGCTGTCGCGTGGCTCGCGGGGGCATTTCCCAAAGCTCCCCCTGGCTCCGGCACGGAAATTAGGGAGAATCGGGAAAACGGCAAGGCTGCGCCGACCCGCGGCGTTCCTCGCCTTCTCGCCAAGTTTTCCTATCCCCACATCTCCTTTTTTTTTTTAGTTATTTTTTTTTCCTATTTTTTTTCTCTCTCTGGCGGGTGTTTATGCGCCGAATAATTTCGGGGCCGGTTCGCCAGGACGCAGATGTCATCCTTCTGCCCGGCTAATTTAATATAAACAATTAGCTTCGTAGCGCACTTTTGAAATCTAATTCTCAAGTGCTTTCTCAAATGTCTTGGTCAGTGTTTGCTTTTTTTTTTTTGCTTTTTTTTTTTTTAAATAACCTCTTATTTTAGTTATACTTTAAGTTCTTATCTTTCGGCCCAATCTAGAAAATGGGAAACTGGTGCGTGTGGGGAGGTCTTGTTTTCTGCCAGTTTGCAAAGGCCCCTTTATTCAACTACTTCATTAATATTATTATTGTTGTTATTATTTTTAAGGTAATACTCTTCTTCTTCTTTTTTTGGGACAGTGTTGATGTGCCGAGGGAAGGCCAGGCAGGATTTTAAAGGCCCAGACTGTCGCTTTGTGAATTTTAAGAAGGGAGAAGCGGTGTATGTATATTACAAACTAATAGGAAAATCAACCGAGCTCTGGGCTGGAAGTGTAAGTACTGTAAAGCGTTTGTTCTTCTTGGGGCTTTCTGTTTGTAGTCTTTTTTCCCTCCTTTTTCCCTCGTAGGAGAACAGTTTGGGTTTTGCACCCAGCTGAATAACATAATGAATGCCATTTTGTCTTGAGACTGGCGTGAAGTGGGATGCGGTTTGATCAAACCTAAGGCATTAAGTGCCATGAAAACTGGGCAACGCTAATTTGTGCTAAAAACTGTTAGAAAACTGGCTTTGTGTTGAAAAGCTCCCGTTGCAGTGCTGTAGGTGGTGGCCCCTGGGCCTGCCTGGAAGCTGAGCCGCCCTTCCCCTTGTATTTACCCCTGACGTGGGCTCATCCCGTGCTCCGTAATCCCGCTAAACGTTGCTCCATGTACGTGTTTTAATCATGTTTCTCTCCCTAATAGTCAGCTGCCACTTTCTCCTTTTTATCTGAGCTGCGTGCAGTGTTGGAGGGGGGGAAAAAAGTAGTAAAAGTTAAAAGAACTAAGGTAAATTTGTTTTTTTTAAAAGGTCTGTCTCGGCTTTAGTAGCGCCTTGTAGTGGCCTTGTCTGAGTCGCTGTCTTCTGCTGGTCTGGGAGGGTGCTGGGAAAAGGGGGTCGCTGTAATTCCAGTTATTTCATGGAAAACTGCTCTTGGCTTTCATGATAAACACCTTATTTGCCTGACAGAAGCAGAACTGAGATGCCCCAGGAGAAAAAGCAGGTTTTGTGGCCTTCTCTTGAAGATCCTGGCAGTCTGGAGGTGGCTTAGACCTTATCCCTGTCGCCCCCTCCCCATGCTTCACCCATCTGCCTTTTAATGTCCAAATGGTTCTCTTCAACCTCCTTTCTCACTCTGGGCTTCTACAAGGGCTAGGTGGTTGCCTGTGACAGTGGTCTGGGCTGCTGGAAGCGGCGTCTGGGTGTTGACTGTGGGGCTGGTGGTTTAGTGGAAAGCAGGATGTATGACTTTCTCTAACCTGTTCAGGCGGGGTGTGGACGGCCGGGCTCTCTGCAAGGAGCTGAATCCAATTAGAACAATACAGAAGAGAGCAGAAAACTGCAGCACGCGGTTAAAAAAGAGTTTATAATTGTATCGTGCTGGTAATTCCCTTCTGACACGTACTGTACCATAAATAATCTGGTTAATTAGCCTGTACGGGTTTCCAGGGCTGCCAGTACTTGCGATGCGGAGTAGCGACGTAGGGCCAGTTTTGCATCTTCTAACGAGGTGTAACGCAGGCTGCAAGATCAGGCAGCAGGTTTAAGGTAATTGCTGAGTTAATATTCAGTTTAACTATCCACGGATAGGAAGCTCCTGCAACAGTTAGGTGTGTCTCCAAGTCAATAGGATGTTTGCTTTGAGTTTAACAAGGAAAAGCTGAAGTTGGCAGGCCTAAAAGAATTGCAAAGCTCTGTTTTATTTGTTGGCATTTTGAAAGGAAAATGGAGTATTTTTCAGTATATGCATAAATATAAAATCCTTATTTTATTTTTAAGAAGGAAAAATTCTGGTATGGGAGCAAAATGCTTGGTGGCTTATATAAGAGTTCAGATTTGGGGGGAAGCTTCTCTACAGGTAGTGCCCTGCAGCTCTGATGGAAGTGGGTTCTTGGGAAATAAAATTACTCCTCTTTCAACAGCACTTTTTATTCCCCAGCTGATTCATAGAAATAAGTAGATAGAGGTCTTCAAAACTGGAGGAGATTATCCTACCAGTAAGAATGCAAAACAGTAGTCAAAGGACGTGGGCAGTTTTCCTCCTATACATTTTCATTGCCAAAAGACACAGTGTTGGATAGGTTTAAGTTAGATTTATCTAAATGTAGTTATTAATGGTAATATGGGAACAAGTGGGGTGCAAACACTGCAGTGGTGTCGAGCAGGGAATTGGGGTGGTTGGGCCCGTCCCTGACTCACGATAGCTCTGGGGTCCCTCATCCAGCATGACCTCCTGTGCCAGGTTTGGCCGGGGCAACTTGATTTATGCAGCCCAGCCAGGCCTGCTCCGTGCAGTCCTGGAGCGAGGAGGGGGGAGGCTGTTGCTTGCTAATTAAAACCAGGCTGCCCAGTGAGGTCTGCAGTCCAACAGATTCCAGAGGAAGGCACGTTACCTTCTGCCGCAGCCCTTTTGGGATCTCGTGGCGTGACTTCGTATGCGTTGGTGGGTGTCGTTTGATCCCGTGCATCCACCCTTCTGCCTTTTTCCATTCCCCAGAGTTTTTGGGGGGGGGGAAGTGTTTATTAGGGCATAATGGAAACTCTGAAATCAAGGGATAACTGGTATTCTGATCTTCGGATGGGGCAGAGGTGAGGGGAATGCGTGTATGAGAAACTTCAACTGCTGCAACATGGGGCTTATTTCAGACAAGTTGTAAAAGCAGGCTCTGATGCTGAAATCAATTTTGAGGAGCCATGAGAAATACAATAGCACTTCTGACCTGAAGGGAGATGGTCTGATAAGAAAAGAGCCTTTCACCAAGGCTGAAAAATCTATAGCAGTTGGGTCTGGGCTTTATTTGCCTTTGCTTTTTGAATTCACTCCGCCCTTTTCAAGTCATTGTTGATTTTTATTTTTTTTTTCTTGCCCTGTGCCAGCAAACATGCTGTATTTTAACAAAATAGCTCCTTTATTTCATGATCCCAGTCTTGTATACTTTATTGCTTGCAGAACTCCCAGTGAGCATTTTGCATGTGAAAAAATCCTGGATCCCACTTCTATATTCTATAGCTTATATGGCATGCAGTTTATAGCAGAGCTGTCTAAACCTCACTAACAAAGCGAAGCCAAATGCTTGGACTGTTATTTAATGGTGATTTTATGTTATGAATTTCACGAATATGCCAGTTTCCAGGAAAATACTTGATTTTTTTTCCCGAAACTGAAAGGTGGGGCACATCTGGTACACGCGTTGTCCAGGGCACCGTGTCCAGCTCTAAAACTACTCTCCAGTATCCACCTCACGTTGTTCACACCATCCAGTTGTGTGACATAAACTTTCCTCCTGTGCATTTCTCCTGCGCTCTGCCCTACATCTTTAGCAGAACTACTTCAGATAATTCCAAGTAAAAAAACTGCTGCTTTTTTACAAAACATTTTAACAAAGACACTTCAAATTATTGCCGCAGAAGATTATTATCTCATGGCAAAGAGCTGAACTTTATTCCTTTGATTCAAGGTTGAGAAAACTATTTCTGGCTTCACATTGTAAGAAACAGGCTGCAGATTTTGGCTTTTTTGGGTGGGTGGGTGGTTGCTGGGTTTTTTTGTTCGTTTTTAAATCTTATACATAGGGTAATAAAAGCGAAGACAGGAGGGGTAAATTTAAGGTAAGACAGGAAGACTGGAGGACCCAGAGGATGAGGGAATTTTTAGTATTATTTCTGTGTTTTCTTAACAATGCCAGTGCTCAGCAAGGGCAGACCAAACCAACCCTTCTCTGAGCCATGTTCTGCAGTTTTAGGTCCTTTTGATGCCTGTGCTTTAGGGATGTGGGCTTTAAGATTAAAAGCATTTGAATGAAGATTTTCTTTCCCATCTGTCTGTTTTCTGTCACTGAGATATGCGGTGTGAGGGTCTGGTTTCTTGGTCGGAGGTGCTGGGTGAATCTGCTGCAGCCAGTTGTCACCCGTGGGCAGTGGTGGAGACAGATGCTGTACACCCAGCCTTGGGGTTCTTCTCCCCACAGCATTTTAGCTGGGAAGCGAGTGGAAATGAAGGATGTGCTTTTTTTTCTCCCTTATTTACTTGGCATTCATAATGCCTTTCCTTTGTCTTGTCTGTAGAGAATGAAGAATGTTTCCTTTATGTGCACAATGAGGCATTTTTTCCCCGTACAAGAGAGGACTTGTAGGGAGAGGAGCAGATGAAATTTTGGGCGTGCGGATCCCATATGGCTCATAAACTACACAAGTGGCAAAGTGGGTCGCTGCAGAGGACTTGTATGGTCAGCAGCTTGGGTTACACTAAACGAGTTTCAAACTGTGATGCCTAATTATAATGGTAGTCACGGAGATTAGTCTGTAAGGAGGCTACTTTGAAGCTTTGGCTTTTGTTTTCAGAAAGATTATTTAAAACTGAAGTAGAAGTTTGTAGAGATAAAAAGGCCAGTTTAGAATAAAATTATAGCCTACTGCAAAAGGAAAAGCTTTTGATTTGACCTGCCTAGTTTGATTTTCCATTCCCAATAATTCCTAATGATATACCTGCATACATTATCTCTCTGCTGTAAGAGAGTATCTCTGTGTGTTTACAAAAGGTGGGGAGGTAATGGCTTTGGTTTTTTATATATATGTATAACTAACTTCAGAGTTCTCAACTAAGAAGATTTGAGTAAGAAACGGTTAAAAAGAAGCCCTGTAGTGTATCGGTGTATACATTGCTTGCATAACAACAACAACAAAAAGGTATTAGTACATATTATTTACTGGATACGATTTTCCTGGGGTTTTTATGCCATTGTAAATCCAGAAAACTTAGGGTCAGGCGAGCCTATTTCAGTGCTATCAATGTAATTATATATATATCTATATGTCCCTAATTATTTTGACATAACTGGCTTCCTTTTTAATTTGATCTCTAACCGAGTGCTCTTCTCAAATAAACTTTTCAAGAAAGTTGGCAACTGTCGACTTCCTCCTATAACAAAACATTGAGGAAATGACCAATTTTTCCCCCCCCCGATATTTTGGTTGTCTAGGAACTCTGTACCTTCTTAGGTGTGTCTACCTGTCTGCAATTGCCTGGATTATCTAATCTGTGGAGCGATAGCACGCTATTAATATTGGCTTCTTGACAGGTGCTCAGAAGTCTCAAGTGAGAGCATTACCGTGTAGATCTTATCTAGCGAATGATAAGAGAGATTCTTGTCCTCCGCTGTTTGCCTTGGCTTAGCATGTTGACTGGCTTGAAAATAGCCATCTGCAACTGATCTTTACTTGTGTTAGTCACTGAAGAGCAACAGTGCGTTTGCAGGGGGGTGTATTTTCCACACAGGTTCTAAAATAGATTATTACCTCAGGTAGGATTTTGCATTTGCCAAAAATCTGCTTTAAGAATTATTCTTTTTTTTCCTTAAGCTACAAAGTGAGTATATTTCAGGCTATAATATTGTGCGTGGATGTAAATCTTATTAGTCAAAGATCCTCTTCTGCTTAGTACTCGAGAGAATCCTTGAAGTGTTACGTGGTGCCAGTGAGAGTGCACGAAGGCAGTTAAAACACGTGATCCAGAGTGCTCGGAATTCACTCCCAGCTCTTCTAGGAATTTGTTACAAGTCAGGCTTTTACACGTGAACAGGAAAACTTCCCAACTTCACAAAGGTGGTGTGAAATTTCTGTATAAAACCTCAATGAAAACTCTTGCATAAACAAGGCATCGCTAATCTTTTTTACTTTTACCCACTATGTTAAATGTCATTTAGAAATACTTGATGTGTTTGTTATTAGTGTCTGTAATTAGGATTTTAACATAGTCACATGATTTTGAAAGCTACTTTGCTGCTTTATGTATGCTTGTGTGTGTTTTCTGGCAGGTTGGAAGTGATTTTGGATATTTTCCGAAGGATTTACTTGAAATAAATCATAATTATTCCAGCGAGGAGCTAGAGTTACCAACAGATGTAAGTCTTATTTGTTCTTTTTTAATCGGGCTGTTTGCTGTTTCTTACCTCAGTATTCAATAAATTCCCTGAGGAGGAGAATGGGAACATCAAGTGATCCTTAGTTACCTTTTGTTAGTAAGCAGTTACAGATGTGCAGAGATGCACACACGTGTCAGGGGGTGGAATGGTTGCGCAGCTACGTGTGTGGATGGGTGTGTAAGCATCGGCCCAAAATGGGGGCAGTGATCTTTCTTGTCTTGAATACTCTTGTTTTCTTTTAACAAAAAATATTTGGATTGAGCTCAAGAAACGCTGCTGGCTGGCTCACACATAGGCTGTTTGGTATGTATTCAGAATTCTTTCTTTTCCCAAACTTGAGAAGTTTAAAGTGTTATCGGAAACTAACAAAACCTGACACACTGTTAGCCTTTTGATACTAGAACTGGTCCTTCAACCCCAACAGACATAAGTGGCTTTCAGGCACTAATAGCTGGTAACCCCAGAGTTGTGTGAGGAAAGCCTGTGTGTGGTTGCAGCTTCAGACCCGCATGAAATTGTATTCAGTGGCTTGCACTGATGTTTAATTTATTTTTCAGACATTATGTGACAGGCAGCTCCTGCTTGGAGGACGTGGTCATTTGAGGAGAGACCAACTGAAAGAGATTGGGACAAACAAGCTTAGTGACGTTTTTCTTCTCCTCACTGACATTCAGCAATAGACTTAATTCAGGATATATGTGATGAGTAAAGTATAATACTGTCAACTCCATTGCTGGCTTCCAGTTTGTTCCTCACTAGGAGGTCTTTGAAGGGGCTAAGCCATAAGCTTTTTATTTAGGTTTTTAAGAGTCCTTGGGCAAAGCTTCCACTGACTTCAAAGAGACTTTTGGTTAAGGATTCAAGGGGTTAATGCTGCACGATTAATCTAATTTACTTTGCTGCTGCATCTCTCTCTAACCAACCAAATGGATTTGGTCTCATCACTGTAATAAAATAATATTTGTGACTTCATTTTTTTTTTTTTTTTCATTTCAGGAAACAGACTTTGTTTGCTTTGATGGCGGAAGGGATGATTTTGATAATTATAATGTGGATGAACTTTTGAAGTCATTACAAGAGACGATAGCAAATGAAGGGGAAACTGAATCGAGTGATCCAGGGACAAAAAGAGCGGAAGGAATTGAAAGGGATGTGGAGATTGAAAAGGTCAATACAGTAAAGTCCCTTGATGCTTTGGAGACAGACAGTCTCGAGCTAAGCACAGCAGAAGACAAGGAAGACCTCGCCACGACAGAGGAAGTCGACAGTTCTGTTACAGAAGGAACTGAAAATACTGGGGGAGACCCCAGTATCTATAGTCACAAAGAAAACTCTCAGGGAGATCAAATTGCACATGAGCACTTGAAGGGAACGCTACATGGGAAACTACAAGGGCTAGAAAGTGAAAATACCAAAAACACTAGTATTCCTCAGGGTGAAACCAGTCAACTTGACACAGAGAATGAAGAAGTCAATGCCTATACGCTTTTAAACAGAGAGCTCTCTGTGAACTTGAAAACAAAATTTGGCTCAACTGCTGATGCTGTTGTATCAGATGATGAAGTGACTCGCCTTGTTACATCGCTGGAAGATGATTTTAATGAAGATTTGAGCATTGATGCTCATGATGCAGAGGAGGAGCCAGACTTTGCAGATCAATCTGAAGAAATCCCTTTGCTGTCTTTTACAGCAGGGGAAGAAATTGCATCCCCAGCGGATTTAGAAGATGATGAAAACGATGACATTGAGTCACAAAATCATGAACCTGATGAAGATGCAAAGGGTGCTACAGAGCTAAATAACCAAAGAGACAATGAGGAAGAACTCGATTCAGATGCATTAATTCTTAAGGATGCCTTCAGTAAGAGCAAGAAGTTGGGTGACAGTGTTAGTGTGGACAGGTCCGAACCTAAGCAAACAAGAGAGAAACAGGATGAGGTGATGCTAATTAGTAAAAGAGAAGCACCAGCATCAACTCAACCTGAGGATCTCGCCAAAGAACTCCTTAGGAAGGAACCTGTAGGTACAGGTGATCATGGTTCAAAAGAAAAAACAAACAAAACTGAGCAGTTTGAAGAGCAGCTCACAGTTGGTGGAACTGAGCCACATACTGAAGAGCTGAAGAGTACAGCAGTGCCTGATCCGCATGTTTTGCCTAGTCCAGGGGATGATCTGGAGTCCAAATCACTCGTTAAAAGCAAGCAAGATGCTTTAAAACCACCTATTGGTGATAGCAATAGAAGCCCAGAAAAAGTGCCGCTTGCTCAAATAGAGAAAGATGAGAAAAAGTTTGAGGATGACATCTTGGAAGAGGTCTTGGAAAGTGATTTAAAGAACAAAAAGCAATGGGAGAAAACAAAGGAGGAAGTAAGAGCTGAGAACAAGCCTTCTGTTGATGTTCCAACCAAACCAGCGGAAGAGGTAAAAAATGCATCTCAAACTGACTTAGGAGATACTGACATCTTGAAAGAGAAAGTGGAGCATGGAATGCCTGCAGTGGAGAAAGAACTTAGAAGACATGAAGAAGATTTTAAACAAGCAGGTGACACCAATCATGAAAATCAAAAAAACACCTCTTTTAACAAAGAACCTGAAATAAAAGGGAAAAACATGGAAGAAACCCCTGCAGGGAAGAGCGACCCAAGCCGTAGAGGAGCTGTTGAGCAACCTAGGCCAAGGGAAAATGAGACTGAGTATTCAGAGGCAGATGTGAAAGAAGAGCTTTCAAGAAATCTTGGCAAGATGACAGTATTTGAAGAAAGCATTAAGAAAAGCTCTCCTGAAGAAAAATCAAAAAGCATTGCACAGAATACTAATACAGAGAATCTTACTCAGCAAGGAACTGCTCGTACTGAGGCTGCAGATTCAGATGGAAATCTTGGCACAAATGTAGCTAAAGAAAGAACACCAAGACCAGAATTGCAGTCTGAAGAGCCAGATGATCAAGACAACCGTGACCTGAAACAAGTAGAGGAAGAGCTGCTGGAAGATGAGAACGCTGCAAGTGCAAAGCTGTCGCAAGCAAAGGCTGCAAATGTACAGGGTGATACGTTACATGTTAAAAGTACAAACCCAGGATTAGAAGTACCAAGCGAAGCTGTTTCAGCAACTGCAAATCCTACTTACAAAACAGGAGAGGAAACAAACTGGTTTTCTAAGGAGGCTGGAAGACCAGTCAGCATGCAAGATGCGAGCAAGACTGGGAACAAAGAGGTGGACGTACCAGTGAGTGAAGATGCTAAATCAGATGAGTTGGAACGTGTCATGGAAGAGGATGATGAAGAATCTTCTGAAGCTGAGAAACCAGCTGTGGAAGAGGAACCAGCTGTGGAAGAACATAATTTCCAACCTCCAGACACAGAAGATGACAATGACTTTAACCAAAGGAAAGATCATGTCCCAGAGGGTGTTTCAGAGAAAGACTCAAAGGAGCTGCAAAATTTAGAGCATACAAGATACGACCACCAGCAACCTGCACATCTCCCCAGCCCTGCTGACAGCTCAGAGGCCACAAATGACACTGTAACAGACTTCAGTGAGTCTGTAAAGCGGCTCACAATAATAAGAGATTTTCTTGATGAAAAGCGTGTAATACGGCTACAAAAGTACCTTGGGCTTGAACATGTGGTTAGGATAGAAGCCATGTTTCACGACATGAAGGTAGAGATGGAGCTTGCTCAGAAGGCAAGCCATAATAATGAAGATATAGAAAAAGCCTTGGACCAGATACTTGAGTTTTCAGAATCGAGCATTATGGATGCGGTGGGAAAAGTTCTGGATTCCAGAGTGGCAGAAAATAAAGAGGAGGTGGTAAAAGAGATGGATTTGTACGATGAGGAGAGCGCACTGATGGATGATATTCAAGAATTAATATATTCTTTAAGGAGTAAATATTCTTCTGCTAGTGAGAGTGTCCCACTTGCATCTGTTCCAGAACAGGAAGATGATGAGCTGCACATTCAAGGTAGGATGTTAAACCATTTAATAAATAGATGAAAGGGAAGTAAAACCCTACCCCAGACAACACTATGTAACCTAGAGCAGCTTTAAGAAGGGGGTGGGAGAGCAGAATTGAAAGATTCCCTGTGGAATCCACTGGGATTTTGCTTATTTTTAATGCCTATTTTTGGCATTGTGATGGGTGTCCCAGGGACAAATCCTGAGAGTGAATGATGAGCGTAGCATATCTGTTCCTATAGGCCAGGTTCTGTGCAAGAAAGTGGGATTTGTGCATGGATGTGGCTAGGAGGAGCTATTCAGGTCATGTCTATACCTCCCCCTCTCTCCCACATACACTGATGTGCTGAATTTTCTAGAGGGTTTAGAGCAGTCTTTTTTTCCTGAACTAGCTAGCATGTAGTTATGAAAGATCCAGTGATTAATGCAAAGTTCAGGCACTGAATCCATCCACCTAAATTCTCAGGTGTCCCCATCCTAGCATTTTTGCCCACATTCATAAAAAAATATGTAAGGAGAAGTACTGAACAAACAGCTTCTTTGACAGGGGAAGAACCAGAGGTAGAGTCTGCTGCAAACTTGCTGTTTTTTTAATTAACGTGCAAGGTGGTAAATCGTGGTCTTAGCAAGGCTTCTGTCACAGTGGTGCATGTTCAGTATGTGATTTCTGATGAAGTCTTGAAAGCTGAAAATAGTTCACCTTGCAGTATTTCATTGCAAGGTCAGTGGTTGGTACCCTGCATAAATTGCATAGAAACTTTTAATGAGGTGTTACTGAAAGTTGATTGAGAATTTACAGGAAGCAAAAACACAAGCTGAAGTGTTTAAAAGTGTCAAGAAAGCTTTGTCAAATGCAGTATTTCACTGGAGACAGCTATGGGTAAGAAATACATGTTAGCTCAGTGCTTAATTGTCACCCTGTCTGTCATAGATGGTGTGAAAGAGGCTGAATATGATGGAGTTTCCATGAGAAACCCAAATGCCTTCGATGAGAGCAACCAGAAATCTCAGCAGCTTGAAGAGGAGAGGCCAGAACAGCCTGTTGAGAAGGAAGAGGAGAGGGCTGCTAATACTCCACCTGAGCATGAAGAGGCCAACTTGTCAGATAATAGAGAAGCCGAAGAAGGGTATGACAGTGGAAAAGGATCGCTGCTGGAAGATACTTCCTTTGGGTCAATTGATTCAGGACAGAACGCCAGGGAAGATGTTGCTCCAGGTAACCTTTTGGAATTGGGTTGTTTTGTCCTTTTGCTCCTAAAGAGGAGCACAGTTAAATGGTTTTTAGGCAAATACCAAGGTTTTTACTAATATTTTCACTGTACGTTGCTGTAGTCTTAATGGTTTTCACTAATCCCTAACAGTCCCTCTAGTGGCAGATTGCCTCGCTACCACGCATCTCAGCAGAGAAGTTTTGCTACTGCCTTTTTGCACTATAGAAATAAGAAAAATTGTCCTGTTAAGTGCTATAGTTGGAGCTCTGTGCTCGGGCTGACGGACCGTGTCTCAGGATGGTAGTGGCTAAAAAGCAAATAGCACTGGAAACGTACCATCAGCCCAGTTTTTCTCCTCCTTGCAGGGGGACTGACAGTCTAACCTAAGGCTATTGAATGATGTGCGCTGTCTTGCTCTTCTTAACCTGTGACTCTGGGCTATGTTATTTTCCAGGAAAGATGGAGTGTAGCTTCCCTCACGCAGTTCAGTAATTTCTGGCTAAGGTGTGTGTTGGAGTAGGAGAAATGTTTGCCTCTTCTGCTGAGGCCTTCTCCCTCTGGAGAAAATGATCCCATTAGCCTCGTCTTCCCCAGCTCTGTTTTGCTTTAAACTACCTTTGACTCCACTCTTGGTGCTGAGTTCAGCTTTGCTGTTCTGCATTCACCTCTGATTATGCTTAATAAAACAGGTTTCACTGAGCATTTAGACAAAATTCATGCACATCTTGCTTAGCTTTCATATGCTACTGAAATACTCTACCATCCCTGTAGCTAAGCACTTTTGGGCAGCTTCTAACTACGACAGGAAACTTTAGGTTGAATGCAAAAAGATACCTAATGAATTTTAAATAGCTGGTGGGTTACTTACGTGGCTGAGTCGTCAGATGTTCAGATGTATTTTAGACCATCTTCCAGTCCTTCCTCAGCAGTGGTTAAATGCTGTTTGCCAGGCATTCCTGTGAGGACTGCTGGAAGCGCTGGGAAAAATCTGCAGTTGCTGGTAGAACTGCTGGTCAGAGAAGCTGTTCCACAATGTAACATTGGGGTGGACGGGTGGTTATTTGGATCTGCTAACCTGGACTTGTGGCAACAGTAGCAGCGAGAGGAGGAGGCAGGGTTCAGATGAGCATAGGAGTAAAAAATATGGTGGCATTTATATTATTTTCTGATTATTTTTCTTTGCAAGGAAATACGGCTATTCCTAACGTGGTTTTTTTTTTTTGAATGAAATAATTACTGGTAAAACACAAATGAGTATTTAATGGAGATCAGTATTTAGAGGAGATGTTACTCTGTTGCTGTATGCTCTGCTCTGGTATGGATACAATCGCCTCAGCTCGCTTGTGGTCTTCTGGGTCCTTAAACAAAGACAGATCTTTCTCTAGCAATTAAGAAAGATTATGCTGTACTAACAGTGCTGTAAACTTACTAGAAGATGTTCATTTATTGATTGGGAATTGAAAAGCCTGTGCTTCTTTGTTGCTGCTGAAGGAGTTGCATGTGCACTGTCTGAGGCAGGCTTGGCTCAGTGATTTCTCTGTGTCCCTCTCTTCCTAAAGCAGCACATGGAATATTGCTGTCCTTTCTAAGGACTTTTGCCTCTTTCTTCAATGCTCTGGAGAACTGGGGGCCATAACTTGAAATCTTGCAGTGACGGGATAAGGGGTAATGGTCTTAAATTGGAAGAGGGGAGATTTAGATTAGGTATTAGGAAGAAGTTCTTCACCGTGAGGGTGGTGAGGCACTGGAACAGGTTGCCCAGGGAAGTTGTGGATGCCCCATCCCTGGAGGTGTTCAAGGCCAGGCTGGATGGGGCTTTGAGCAACCTGGTCTGGTGGGAGGTGTCCCTGCCCATGGCAGGGGGGTGGAACTAGATGATGTTTAAGGTCCTTTCCAACCCAAACCATTCTGATTCTCTACCGCAGAAGCCGCGGCGGCCGGAGGCGGAGGCCGCCTCCCGGGGAGCCGTGGGCCAAGCGGCCCGGCAGCTGCTGCGGCTGGTGAGTGGCGGAGATGGCGGCGGCGGCGCGGGGCGATGACGCAGGCGGGCGCGCGGGGCGTGGCGTGGCGAGGAGAGGGGCGGGGGTGTCACTGCGGGCTGACGTGTGCCTGGAAGTTGGCTCGCGCCGCCATGGACCCCGCGGGCGTCGGCGCGCGCCTGGCGCAGCCCCCGGCGCGGCGGCTGCTGCAGGTGCGCGAGGCTGAGGGGAGGGGGGAGCGGGAGGGTGGGGCCGGCGCCCGCCGGTAACGGCCGGCGGCCCTGACGAGCGGCTGAGGGGCCCCAACAGACACCCCCCCCGCCGCTTCCCCTGAGGGGATTCGCCCCGCTGCTGTCCCCGAGGGGCTTTCTCCTCGCCCCCCCGCCCTACCCAGCGATGTGGGGCAGCCCCGTGGAAGCGGCGGCGGCGGTGTCTACCGGCCTCGACACCGGCAGGCATGGCTGCCCGGCCTCTTGCCGCCCCCCGAGGAGAGGGGGCCTGCGGAAAGGCCAGCTCGCCCCGAGGTTGGGCTTTGCAGGGGGAAGCGTGTGCCCGCGTTTTAATCTCACGCTGCCGCCGGCCGGGGCCGGGGAGAAGGCAGCAGTTTCTGGCTGGTTCCTACAGTTTATATTCCAAGCGCCATGTCTCTATCGGCCCTGTGAGCTCTACCAGGTATTTGCACCTTCTTTCAGGCAATTAGTGCTCTCTGGCCTTAATGACGAGACGCATATGACCCTGTGACCAGGGTGACAGCGGGGAAGAGATCTGAGCCATTTTTACTGGATTGTTACAAATGTCCAGATACGATTTTTTTTTTTTTTTGTGCTATATATTTTCCATCCTTACAGCTTTATTTGGAAACAGATCAAATAACGTAGTGCTGTGTAATGCAGAATGCGTGTATCAGCTCATTGTGGTGCAGCTGTTCTTTGCCAGCAGGTTGTTACTGTCAGGTGGCTTCCCGATACTCAGACTTTTGAGTTGAAATGCAAGCGTTGAGCTGCTTTGTGGTTTCTCTTCGTTTTCAGTTTTCAGTTTACAAGAAGACTGCAAGAAAGCTCTAGATGGTTCTCTGGTTTTACGGGAGGCATTTGGCAGACTCTTTATTTTGCCTGAGTATTTAATGAAAACATATTCATAGTTGTCGATGTTGTTGGCTTTCAGTTGGTTGCTATGCTGCCTGAGGAAATTCGTCCTGGACCTGATTTCCATGGACTTCCATGGGAGCCTATTATTATCACTGCCTTAGTGGGAATTGCCACGCTTGCAATCTTTTTCTGGAGGACCTGCCTTTCAGTGAGTACACTTCATGCTTGTAAGCCTGCTGATATTTCACTTACTGCGCGGTCTTTTGTACGGTTAAACTGTTTCAGCATTAACCTGGGTGAAAGCAATAGGTAGTCTTTAATGTTTTTGCTTCTAGCACATTAATGTGAACTAAATGCTGGGCTTAATAGCGGCAGTAAGTTGTAATTTTCTTCAAGCTAAGAAGCTTTTCTTTAAGCTATTCATTGAAGATTTTTTAGAGAGGGTAGGCAAAATAAGGGAGTATGATGTAAATCAAGAAGGCTGAGGAAAGGGTCAGCGTATATTTGAAATGAGAAACCTTCCATGTACTTGAGCTTGTTGCTGACTGTCTCCAAAACAAGCAGTTAATCCCTTCTGCCCCTGTCATATTGCCCAGCTGCTTGTAGGTGCTGTATTTAGGAACCTGAGCACCTGATAATAACTGTCACTGGAGAGTCCCTTCCCCACTCTGCATTTCCCCCTGTTTTTTACATGGATGATTTCCTGTGCACGAAAAATACCACCACTAGCTCTTAAGTAGAGCCATGCATCTCCTTAGGAACTGACAGATGAAAATCAGAGAGGACAGTTTATTTTACAGCTGTACAGTTCAGTGATGATATGTTCTGGAAGTCTGTGGAATACTTCATCTTTGCTTGGCAAAAATGAATTAATACTAAATATTATCTGTAATGACACTGATAGGGTTTAGTTTTTTATTGTTTAGTTTAGAAATTGAATATACTAGGTCAGTTTCAAATGCAAAATAGTGTTAATATAACAGCATAAGAAGAGAGCTTCTGAAATTGTCCTTTAACAGCGTTAATTTCAAAATGAGCAACTGTCATGTAAATATACAAGGATCAGAACCGGAATACAAGTGGGTTTTGTGTTTGCAAGTTCATTACTGTTGTTTGATGCAAAATGGCTTCATTTTCGTTGTTGCAAATTGGATGTGGGCAGTTACTGCTATCCTTTTAGTGACTGGGTAAACAGACGTTTACTAAGGCTCTAGGACAGGGCATTAACCCAGAAGCTTTTATTAGAAAACAGCTTAAGCTTGTTTGTAGTGTTATTCAACACTCTGGTTGGCAGTGTTAGATGTGTTTTCCACGTGCTGCTTTAATCAGCATGTAAGTGGTGACTTTTTTCTATAGGGAGAATTAATAACATTTTTCATTTAGCGCTGTTTATGGCTGATTCTTTATTCTTTTGGTTTTTTTCTGTAGGTGAAGAGTAGAATATATCAAGGTAAGTTTCTCTAAGTGTACTTGATGCTTAGGCATGTAAAAGTTTTGAAGATTGTTTCAGAGGACCAAGTATTCATCTTCACTCCCTTCGAAGGAGAATGCTAATTATGGGGTTATGGTGTAAACTAGGCCAGTAGATGATACTTACTTGAATCAGAGCGTTTCAGTTTTGGTTTTGATAATGCTTTGATAAGGAGAAAGAATGCAACTCGCACCTGCAAATTAAAGGCCAAAGAAAAGCTCCACTGTGTTCAACATAAATGTGATACTGCAATTTCATCTTATACAATTAATGCAGAATTGATGAGCTGATCTAAATCCCTTAGATCTGTAAAGTGATTTCTGTACTGCTAAACAATTACTGTTATTGGAGGGGGAAAAACATTGATATTGGTGGTGTAGAAATTACTTACCAGCCTGCCCCAAAAAATCCGTGACCAAAAAAAAAGGTTGAATCCTCTTCCCCTGCCCCCAAAAAATATTCCAGGGATTTCTGCACCCCTTAAATGCTCTTGTACCTCAGCAGTGGGTTTCTGGCTCTCCCCTGCCCGGAGCAGGAGGGGCTCTCTGGCCCAGAAGCCCTGGTGTGGGAGGGGAGGGAGGAGCAGCAGTTGCCACTTGTCCTGTGGCTTGCAGTTGGGATAACCAGTGCTTCCTGTTTGTGCTGCGGGATTTGCTGTGTGGCAAATGGGGCTTGAGGTGTTCAAATACAGGGATGGTTTAGGAATTGAAAAACAATCGGGTGTTCTTTAAATTAATTTGCAATAATAATTTAAGTATGTTAATGATTTTTTTGTTGAATCTTAAGGGTTGGTCAGTGACTTATTTAGTTTGAGAAACAAATGCATGCCTAAAGAACTGTTGCTGGGTCACAGCCCTTTTGAGGTCTGTTAGAAAGCAGTTCCTCGAGGCTTACCGCTGCTGTCTGCTCGTTGACAGCCACTTTGCTGTTCCCAGTAGGTCTTTTAAAGTTTTCATCCTTTTATCTTTGCTAACCAAATGTTCAGTTTCAATACAGCAGGAAGAGGTGGTTGTTAGGGAAGGTGTTGCGTCTCCCGGAGGGTCACAGCAGCAGCCTGAGACTGTTCTGACCTCCTCACTGCCCATTCTTCCCTTGAACATACCTCCTCTGTGCATAGCCAGGACTTCACTCTGCTGTGTTCTCTGACCAGCCCCTGTGAAGTAGATGCAAGAGCTCTGTGCTTTGTGTTGGTGTTCAGTGCTTTAGTGTTTGCAATCCTAGCTTTAAATGAAAGCTGGAGATGCTTAGAGTCCTGCAGAAAGGGCTGACTGCTAGGGAACTGGTACTGTCCTGATTTTTGCTTTTGTCTTTAACTTGAAAATGTACCCAAAAGTGATAGTAACGATAGCTCTGATTTTATTTTATTTTTTCCCCCAGGATATAAAGTACAGTTACTGTAAACTTTCTTTTTCTTCCTAGTGACTGAAAAGCAACTTGCTGAAAAGATTAAAAACCTTCTGCAAGAAAAAACAGAAATCTTAGAAAAGATTTCAGAATACGATCAAAAGGTATTGTTCTAGGTTCTTGTCCTTTGCTTCCTAATTTTCTGTTACCAGTTTAATGACACAGTCAGTGCAACAGCTAATATCTTTTTATTTTCTGTTCTTACCAAATAATACTTTGGCAGTTTCCTCAGTTCTGTTTGGTTGTTTCATTGCTTAGATAAAGGAAGCAAAGGAATCTGTGAAAGTGGCCCAAGAACAAAAAGACATTCTCTCCGATGAAACTGCAGGGCTTAAGGTAAGAAACAGTTAACTGTCTCTGTACTGAAAGCAAAACCATCAGTAAAATAGCTTGCTTTAGATGGTCTTTTTCTTTTCTTTTTTTTTCTTTTTTTTTTTTTTTTTTTTT